GGAACGCACTAAAACATAACGCAACCCAAGAGACGTTTTCAAGTTGGATATTGTGAAACAGATCGTTTTACGCAGGTAATTGCCAAATGTATAATCTAAAATGTGTTTCCAATCACTCCCCTGGTCGTGTGTAGAAACATCATGTACAATAGTTCTGCATTATAAGTATAGGCATTAGAGTATATATTGCTTCAATTGCCACATAGCAAAGAAAAGCACATTTTAGTGGAGGATTTACTTCTTTGTGCCGAACACATTATACGTGTAAAATCCCCCATCCCCTCTACCCTGCTGGAGTCACTTCAAAGAAATGAACAAGTGCAAGACCTCAGGTCATATGAGTAATGAATGAAGACAGTCAAACATCAATGGGTAATTTACTCCAGCCTGATGAAAAAGTGGCCTAATTAACCTCCAAGCAGGAAACCGCAGTGATTCAGAATCAGAATGCAAGATAAAGTGGAGCTTATTGTTATTCAAAAGCACTTTCAATTCCTTTATGCACTCCAAATAGAATATGCCGTAAAAATTAATTAACATTAAGACACCGCATGGAAGAATGAATGAATTCCACGCTGTCACATTAAGATGTATGTGGGAGGGAGCGTGGCTGTGTGAAACACAATGACAAGTGTCAGAAGTGCCATTTTATTTTCCCTGGGAAACAGAATAATTACCTCAGACATACATGTTACATTGTTCCCAAAATATTACAAATGTTTTGCCTGTTAATGTCAAATGAAAAAGCTCAGTCATACAATTCATGCTAATTGTCCTCAAAGTAACATTTACAATTGCATGTATTGTATCTTGACAGGCAAAGTTCATTTTGGTAAAACGACGACTCAATATATATTTTTCTCACAAGAATACCTAATTACATTTGCGCATTTTTGCTTCCAGCGTTTAAGGTAGAAATCAAACCCGTGTACAGGTGGTGCACGTTGGAGTATTACATCCCAGGATCACGAGAGGTGGCAGCAGCTGGTCGAGGCCTTCATCCAGCAGCGGAGTGACTAAGGCGGACGACGGTGTTTAAAGCTGTGTCGTTTCCACCTTGACATCCTCAAACTCTTTGCAATTCAACACTGAGCACGACAGCATTATAATTACTATGATGTCTCGAGAACATTGTACTCCGACCTGTGCATCCACCACTTTTTCCCTCGGCAACATCCATGCCTTGATCGGCTCCTCCACGGTCTACCATGTCTACCTCCAAACTCCAAATGACCCATTACATCTTACGCCTGTAAATTAGGCTACATTTAGTCCCGCATCTCCGATCAGCACGGTCGGCTATGTACGGTGCGAAAGAAGTTCTGCATACATACACATCACACCAATCCCTCATACGACTCCACTCGTTCTAAATCCAGTATCACATCATACTTCGTAGGGTATTCGTGGTTGAGCTGTATAACCCTCCGATGTGCTTTCATGTTGTACCATGTGCTTCGCGGCATGAGGTCCAACTGCTTGCTCCATGTGTTTTGAGCGTCTTCAGGAACCGATACATTTCCTTTAGTTAAAATCCTCATGCATGGAGGCATGAAGAATCATGAACTGAATTCAGTTCCTTCACAAGCTCTCAAGTACACGGAGCATCAGGCATCATGCCGGACAGCACGCGGATCAACCCGAACACACTGCAGAGCTGCCAGTATCACATCAAACACAAGATCGCCCAAATGTCTTCCAAATGTCTTCCGCTTTGGAATCACAACCCCACCTACGTATGCCCACTCATCTCATCCCACTCTTGGCTATGTCCTCTCTGCTCTAATAAACCAAAGCCTACTGTCAATGCCCCCCCCCCCCCCCAGTAAACCTCCATGAAGCGGGGGAGGGGGGTCAATTATTCTCCATTTCTGACCTCTTCTGTCTCTAACACCCTTCCACTGGTATTAGGCATTGCTGAATATTCCTCGACATAAGTCTCGGCCTCAGGCAGTGTTCTTCAACAATTTTCAGAGGGGGGTGGGGGGGTATTTTCGCTGATAAGACAACAGTGTTGAGGGCCGCCACACATGTGAATCCATTGGGGGTTTGACAGCGGCACGATGATGATGATGGGGGTGGTGTTGTCACTCGTTGTGTGTTGTCGGGGACCGTACGTCAGGGGCCGCACGAGAGGCCACTAGGGGCCCCCAGTGGCCCAGGGCCCTTGCACTGAAGAACTCTGCCTTCAGGCCTTCCTCTCTGCATAATGCCCATTTCCATCTGTCCAATTGTTTCTATCGGCACTGACAATTATTTAATCAAGACCCTGCTCCCCTTAACTTACCCACGTCCCTTTAGCCAAACAAAGCAACCCATGTCCTTACAATTATATGATAATGTGCATGCCATGATATTTATTGTGTAAATGCAAACTGCAGTGCTTTGCAAAGTTACATCAATACAGATATGGTATGAATAAACGTCTCTCTGGTATTTCCGTTTTAAAGCGATGTTATTAATAAACGATTGGAAGGAATTGATAACAAGACGGTAACATGTCAGTGCTGTATATTGTAAGCAAACACTCCTGTACTTTGCAAATGGATGTTCATCTGCGTTTTCCATATAAAATGTACCCAATGTTCTGTACAACACTAACATGCTATTACATTTAGATGCTATACAAACTCTAATGACATTGTATTGTACTTGTTGATCTTCATGCATCATATACATATCAGCTGAGCATGGTTGTTTTGTTAGATTCACTGTGCAGGTATTGAGAAAGTTACGTGATATCCCTACGACGTTTGCTGCAATGCCTACACAGAATATGCATACGAGGCTCTTGTGTCAATAAAAAAAAAGAATGACCTTCAATATAAGGTATTTTAACCTTGGGGTTTGCCAGAACACATCTGTACTATTCCGCCGAGAGTCAACAAGCAGAAGCATGTGGGTTCACCGCTGCTGCTTTGATGTAAACACAATTAAAACGTGTGCACAGTTGTGTTGAAAGGCGAAAACAATAGTAAATGTGTCACTTTTTGTACTTTCAATTTTATCATTATTACTGTTCCTTTGTTAACAATTGTTTACGATATATAAAAATGTATACTTTTTGAACAAAAATTTGTATTACGTTTTTATCCATTTCTTTTGCATTATTAAAAAAAAATGTTAACAAAGGAGCATTCATTATTACATTCATATTAATAGGGGTTTTCCCCTCTTTTTCTGGCAACAAAACTGAAACCTTTTTACGAGGATTCATGTCTGCATTAACCACAATACCTGCAGTCAAAATGCAAACAATAAACATACTATGATAATATATTGGCATTGTCCTTGAAACTGATTGGTCCACACCAAGGGACGGCTTTCTTTTGGCGTCATCTGGTCGAGCACCAATTGGGTCGAGGCTCAAAAGAAAGCCGTCCCTTGATGTGGACCAATCAGTTTCAAGGACAATGCATATATTATCATAGTATGTTTTTTGTTTGCATTTTGACTGCAGGTATTGTGGTTAATGCCAGAAAAAATTGGAAAAAACTCTATTACATTTTGGTACTGGCAAAGGAGGTCTAATGATGTAGATACATTCATATTTAAAAAATATATATATATGAAAAATTATTATTAAAAAAACTTTTTATTATGAAAAATATAGGCATTGTCAATTCAATGCTAGACGAAGACCAACCGAACCATTTTGGTCACGATGGTTGTTTGACCATACTTCAACCATGCGGATGTCCAGGGCTGCTTCTGGCATCACTTCTGACTTTAACCAACACTAAGAACTCAAACACGGGTTGCTGGGTGCATAGTGGAGCATGCTCACCACTACAACCAAATGCACCCCCCCCCGACCCCGACAATGCTTTGTTTCAACTCAACATTGATTTCACTGACAGTGTATGCCTTGGTGCTTTCGACACAAGTGACAGTATTCAAGAAATATCATTCGCAACCTCTCCCCGCAGAGTATCAACAAGTGCAAGTGGAACGCCCCCGATGAACGACACTGCTGAACCACCGCTTGGAGCCACTTCAATAATAAACCTCTGGCAAACGACTCCACTGTTGGTGCACGTCAACCATGCACTGTTTATATTCATCCTCACATGCTGGGCTAAATTAAATTAAGAGTCAAATAAATACCTCGTTCATGTTATGTTTATATGCGGGCAATGAGACCATCGACTCATCATTACGCATGAGAACCTGGTTTAATTGTGCTGGCTTAGATATAAAAATAGGATATTGCCTGTGCTAGCTCAGTTCTCTAATGAAGGCACCAACTAGCATTCCGATATATATTAATATATAGCAAACTCCATTACCGGGCAAATGCCTGTGACCACAGATCATCGGACAGATGTGATATACGCCACGTATTTTCCCCCAATTTCAAGAGGGCTTCATTCATACTCGCAAAGCAACATTGCCCGTGTCCTCCGAGTTGTTACTCCATCACTATCTGTTAAAACATCGAGGCATGTCCAGACGCGAGACCTTTTTACTCATGTAGAATTTATATTACAAAATGACATTGGTCATATTTAAATGGGGGGGGGGGGATACATTTTGGTGCAAGGATTAAATATATGAAGTTTCAGCTATCGTGCATGAAATCACGACCAGGCATCTGCAAGGCCAGGGAATTCAAAGTCGTTTCAAATTACTCATAGTTCAATTTGGCTTAAACCTGTACTTCCTGGCTGGAGGCAATAGTATTGGCCAACCTTTACCTAGACACAATGTCGAAGTAAAAGCGGAAAAACATTTCAAACTCAAATCACAATACTTGGCGGCCTCAAGTAAATGGTGGAAATTCCACATTTCTGTGTTTGGGACGAGTTTACCCACAGGTCAAATACAGTTGACTAAGTACAACAATGTTGCACTTATTGTATTGACGTGGGAGAGAAGACCTATATTGACTCCCTGACCAGGATTTCATATGGCAACCTTCTGATTGAGTTTTGCTATTTACAGTGTCAGACAACCAGTTAGCATCCAACAGCCTAAAAGATCAGCCTGACACGCTCAGCAGAAATACAAGAAACTTTACTAATACTGAACAAATATTACATAAATGTACGTGTGCAAATGTATATACAAGTTATGTTTGTAATAATGTAATGAATATTGTTTAATAATCTCCAGTGAAACTTTTGTAATGGTGCAGGAAATGATTTACTTGAACGCCATACAGGTTTACACAACACATACTACTTGCAGCCTGGAATTAAGTATAATAAGATTTTGCCAATGAAGTTCGCACAAGTGAATGATTGCAAGAAGGTGCTTCGTTCTGAAATAACCCTTGCGATGTAAAAGACAAAACATATGATCAGGATTATATTATTCATGTACAGCGAGTGGTTATGGCCATCAACTTAGTGCAATGACCATTAACTTTATAATATCTGTAAGAGTCCATTTTCTAGGCAATTAAGCTCAGTGACCACAGGCAGGCTTCAACATCAACTGCATGCAATTCATCCATCGTATAATGAACATCACTTCACTGCATCACGTGGCTGCTGGTGTCTTGAAATCTATAACGGAAAAAAAGCATCGGTTAATGAATTATTTCATACGGTGGTTTTAAACAACGTGAAATAACAACTGTGTGCCAATTTTGATTTAAAGCTTTCGTGACTGCAGAGATTCATATTATTGGTTCTTCGGTAAAGTCACGTAGAAGAGAAACAATAAAATAAGAAAAATATAAAACAATAAAATTCTCACGACATTTCGACTGTAACACAAGGAATCATCAGGTGTGAAAACCACAGCAAGAAAATTAATTTTCTTGAGAATTTTATTGTTTTATACTTTTATTATTTTATTGTTTCCCTTCTACGTGACTTTACCAAAAGAACCAAGAATATAACTGTGTGCCAATTAAATATCCAAGATCAAATAATGTAAAGTATAGCTAAGCACAGACGTAAAACCAAATTACACCACAAAATGTATCAGAAAATGTATTGGCGCCGTGATGATCCCTTTGAGATTTTTGCCAATTTATTTAAAGGACATTCATGCGAGTTCAGAAAATGTTGCTGGCAATTAAAAGCAAGCACTTTTCAAAAGTATTATCAACTAATGAAAACAAGTCAGGGCATTCATTGGCACATTTAAAAATAGTGTAAAAGGGTTAATGTGAATCATCATCATGGGACCTCCTTTGCCAGTACTAAAATATGAGAAGAGGTTTTTCACTTTTTTCTGGCAACAAAACAGGTTTTAAGATTTTTCGATTTAAAGCTTTCGTAACTGCAGGGATTCATATTCTTGGTTCTCTCGGTAAAGTCACGTAGAATGGAAATAAAGAAGGCTACTTGTGTTGTGGCCGAAACGTCGTGAGAATTTTATTTTATTGTTTTATTTTTATTATTTTATTTCCATTCTACGTGACTTTATCGAAAAAACCAAGAAGAGGTTTTAAGATGTTAAAACACGAAACTGAAACCTTTTACAAGGAATTACGTCTGCATTAACCACAATACTTGTGGTCAGAATGCAAACAAAAAACGTACTCTGATAATGTATGCACTGTCTTTGAAACGGATTGGTCCACACCAGAGACAGCTTTCTTTTGAGCCTAGTCTCAAAACGGTGTTAGACCAGAAGACGCCAAGAGCCATATAGTCTCGCGATCTAACCCAAAAACCTCTATTATGGACCTTTAAATCCTTTAAAGCTTGTGGTTACCTAGTAGAGGTGATTTTAAAATGTCATTGTTGATTATTCATATACAAAATGAAACCAGACAAACTCGAAGTAATTTTGATTTTAAAAAAGCATAACCAACATCATGTAAAATTTTGATTTAAAGCTTTCGTGACTGCAAGGATTCATATTCTTGGTTCTTTCGGTAAAGTCACGTAGAAAGGAAACAATAAAATACAAATATAAAATAATAAAATTCTCACGACGTTTCGACTGCAACATAAGCAATCACCATCAGGTGTGAAAATTTCACATTTTCTTGCTGTGGTTTTCACACCTGATGATGATTGCTTGTGTTGCAGTCAAAACATCGTGAGAATTTTATTGTGTTATATTTTTTTATTTTATTGTTTCCCTTCTACGTGACTTTACCGAAAGAACCAAGAATACAACATCATGTAGTAAATTGTCAAAAACATGATTTTGTTAAAAACATTATTTTAAACTACAAGGACAATATTTCAGTACACCCATTGTGCAAATTAATTTATTGTTCTTAGTTTATCTTCTACACATCATCATGTACAGCGAAAATGACACGTTTAATATTTTTAACATTTGGTTTAATATTTAAATTTGTATTTTGTAGTATGATTTTATTTTATAAACGATGTTATAAGTCGCTTTTTTACGTAACTGAAAAAAATAAAAAAAATGTGTCTTCGTTATTAACTATACAAGCTCCAGAGCATACTTTTATCAGAAAAATATGCCTCACAGGGAAATAAAACCAAGGTGTCCCCACAATGCAATGCACCAAACTCGCTGGCATGTCCACAACATCAGCGGCTGCCGCAGGCACAAGGCTTCTATTAACATTGGAGCAGAGCTGGGATGTGGCTTTGATGTGGGCACCCATACTATTGGCTCCTTTAACGCCTCCCAAGTACCCGGTCAACAAAGGATCTGAGCACTGCCAGAATGTAAGATAATTCGTTATGGACTGCTGTAAACAAATGCCATATATTCCCTTCCTTCCCTCCACATCAAAACTATGAAGGTTACTTGTGTGTGTGCATTGGGCAAAACAACTTTACATAGTAAATTACGATGGTGACTTTGTAAATAAAGAACTATCCAACTGATTCCAAATGTTTGGTATATATTTTAAACCAAAACTCTTGTTATAATAATGATTTAAAAAATTTAGAAACCTATGCAGAACTCGGCCACAGAAACAAATCTGCCAAAAGCAGCTATTCCACCAAGGTTGCCTGCTGTTGGATGTTTAGAATACACAATATCGCAAATCGTCAGGAAAATTGTAATAACAGGTTACGAAGGTGTCACAAACAATTCTGAGCCTTTATAAAAGGACATTCCAAAGACCATTGATGTTGAAATTACTTATATTCCATGCTGAGAATACTCAAACATCTAATGCACAATATTCCTGGTTGATGTGTTTCTTTTTTACACTTCATCTATTGCAGGTAGACCTTGATGGATGTTGAAAAATCTGAAAATCAAGCATCATACTATGATTTGAAGCTTTCGTGACTGCAAGGATCCATACTCTTTGGTTCTATTCGGTAAAGTCACGTAGGTAAAAAACAAAATAACAAAAAATCACGACGTTTCGGCCACAACACAAGTGGCCTTCATCAGGTGAAGGGACTGGACTGTCCAGAGGACAGCGTTGGAGTGAAGAAGCAAGCCCAGGTCGCGTCCTTTAAGCTGTGTGGGAGGAAACAAAAAACGCCTTGACAAAGGAATTAGCATAACAATGATGTACTGGACCGGCACGGTGGGGGGGGGGGGGGGGGAGTTTACATAATGTTGGTGTGAAGGGAAATAAGCTGCTGTGAAAATTTGGGATACCACTACTTGAAAAAATATACTGTACCATTGAAAATTAGTTTAATGTTTGGTTTGATTTAGAACATCTTTTCAATGATTGCTTAATTTGAAACCATCCTCTCGGTTGAAACTGTGTCTGTGTTTGTAAATCTGAATTGCCTCGTGGACAAATCTCTGATAAAAACCCGTGGGTTTGCAGAGAACCTTGGTATCGGAGAAAACTATATCGTGATCACCCACAGCGTTGTAACAGTGATCAGCTACGGCAGAAGAATTCGTTCTGCCGTGTTTCAACACTGCCGAATTAGTTCTGCCGTGTTTCAACACGGCAGAACGAATTATTCTGCCGTAGCTGATCACTGTTATCAGAGATTTGTCCACGAGGCAATTCAGATTTACAAACACAGACACAATTTCAACCGAGAGGATGGTTTCAAATTAAGCAATCATTGGAAAGATGTTCTAAATCAAACCAAACATTAAACTAATTTTCAATGGTACAGTATATTTTTTCAAGTAGTGGTATTCCAAACTTTCACAGCAGCTTATTTCCCTTCACACCAACATTATGTAAACTCCCCCCCCCCCACCGTGCCGGTCCAGTACATCATTGTTATGCTAATTCCTTTGTCAAGAAGTTTTTTGTTTCCTCCCACACAGCTTAAAGGACACGACCTGGGCTTGCTGTCTTCACTCCAAAGCTGTCCTCTGGACAGTCCAGTCCCTTTACCTGATGAAGGCCACTTGTGTTGTGGCCGAAACGTCGTGATTTTTTGTTATTTTATTTTTACCTACGTGACTTTACCGAATAGAGCCAAAGAGCATCATACTATGATTGAATATTCATTGTTAGATTACGAAACTTATGGAAATATATAAAATACATGTTGACAAGAGTATAGAGACTATGCAACATCATATGTAGCAATTAAGATGGGCTGCAGAATTTCATTGTCACACTTGAAGATGACCGCAGGTCAGGAATGACTGTGGTGACGGGGGAAAACATGAAGGCAGGGCAAGACCAGATTTTGGAAGACCGCATTGTTACAATTGCAGTCAGCTGACAACTTGGGCATTAGTGTGGCATAAGTGTAACCAATCTTGCAGGATCAATTGGGAATGAACAATTTATGGGCATTGGGTTACCAAAACAATGACATGCAGCAATTAAGAGGGACCCTATGATAAATGCTCATGATAATCTTGATCTGAAAGCAGACTGGATCAAGTTAAGAGGCAATTTTTTACTTCAGATAAGAGCTGGATTTACTTATATGACCCCGAGTTTAAACACACCATATAATGGACAAATATACACTTTTTCAACACCCAACATATTCAAATCAGACTTCAATGCTGGCCAGACCGTGTCCAGCATCATTTTTGGTTATGCTAAAGGAGTGGTACATAAATTTTGATTTAAAGCTTTCGTGACTGCAGTAATTTATATTCTTAGCTCTTTCAACGTGACTTTACCGAAAGAGCTAAGAATATGAGTGGTACATAATTATTTAATGGGAAGAAAAAAAGACGATCATAGGTCAATATTACGCATACTTATTCCATGCGTTAAAGACAAAGTGCCATGGCCTTGGAAATATCATAGCCTCACCCACGCTTCTGCATAAGAATGCCCAAGCACATACGGCAAGGGTGGTAAATGCCAATGCTGTCAATAAATGCCACTTTATGGAAATCCTGCGTCCTGCTAAAATCTGCAAAGCTGGCACAGAGCAACTTTCACTTGGTTCCAAAGTTGAAGGAGCATCTGGGAAGAAAACATGTTGATGATGATGACCTAGAGGCCGTGCAGGGGTCTCTGAATAGGCTGGACGAAGAGTTATTCTATGGGGAATCAATAAGCTCCAGGAAAAATATGACAAAAGGCATTGTTAAAAATGTAAGATGGTTTGAAATACATTTATTCCGATTGGTGTGTAGCATTTTTATTTTGTATTAGGCTCAGAACTTTTTGTATCGTCCCGGTATTTTGACGTTTCTCTTCGTGAAATTGTATTGAATACCTCTCCTTAAAAAAAAGACATTTAAAAGTAGGTAAATAATAGGAACGTGTTCAAGACTAGAGCAGAGATGCACTATGTGTTTTATATATATTTTATTATTTTATTGTTTCCCTTCAACGTGACTTTACCGAAAGAACCAAGAATATGAATCACTGCAGTCACGAAAGCTTTAAATCAAAATTTATGTGTTTATCATTGAATGATTTTCCATAGTTGGTTTGGGATTTCTCCCTTTAACTAGACCTTTTTTAAAGGTATAAAGACTATATACATTTATTATGATAAAGAGAGCTCTCAGATTACCTTTTCGTCTGCTGCCAAATTCAGTGGTTATATCAGTTGATAAAGAAGCCAGTCACACAATATTACAATGGTATGCGAGATGAAATCTGGCCTGTGGAGTTGCACTGTATAATACATATTTATCTCCCAAGTAATATGAAATTGTATGAGTAATATTGAGGTTAATAATTAATATGAACATATAAAATGATACGATAATAGGAAAACCTACATGCACTTGTGATAATGAACTTATTATATAAAAGGTAAGCACTGGAAACTGAAACAAGTTGTAACTTGGTTGAGATCGAAAGGAAAAGGTTAACGTAAAAAAAGATATTTCATCTATCCACTATACTTTCGATTAATATTCTATGCACTGTGGGAAATCGGATGGCCAGTAAATGATTATGAATTAAAATCTCAAGAGAAACTGAGTAAAAAAAATGTTATTGCCAAAATGTATCAATATAATGTATTGTATCGAGCTGTTTCATATTGACGTAATTAAACCAATATGTCAAGAAAATGTTGTGGAGTTTTCCCAGGATTGAGACACTTACTGTTATTGTGGCGAGCCTAGACACTTCAGCAAACACCCACTGTAACCTCAGGGATGACTCTTGAAATGATCATCAGGTTTGCCACTCTGTGCTTGTTTTCCACACTGAGTATAAAAAAAAAATGGTGTTAAATATGAATAAAAATTCAAGCACTGATTCCCACCAATGTTCAGTTTGGAATTGATAAAAGCTACCATACTGCCTCTACTTGACTACTGTGACATCGTGTATAAATCAGCCCCAAGTACTGTACTGAAGAAGCTTGATTCCATCTATCACTCGGCCTTAAGATTTACATTGAACTGCCCATATAGGACTCACCACTGTGATCTCTACATTGGGTCAAACTTAACGTCTCTTAATGTTCGACGGCTTGTGCACCAGATCCTATTTATTCACGATGTACTTACAAAAAAATCCGCAGACTACCTGCTGGATCTCCTCTCTGTTTTAAAGAACAAATTTGACCTCAGGTCTTCGCTCATTTACCAGCTTCACATTCCCTATTGCCGTAAAAAAACTAGAGGAAGGGCCTTTGCTATTGATGCCCCCAGAGTCTGGAATGCTATTGCCAATAAACTTCAACTTATATCGCTACCAATGAGATCTTCTCTCAAAACTGCTCTAGAGGAGTTGTACACCCCTAGCTGCCACTGCTATTCATTGGCGTAAAATAAAATAAAATGTTTCGCTCCGGATGACGCTGCAAAGTATTTATCTGTATTTTGAGTTAGCGTGCTGATCTTAAAGGTGCATTGAAAAATTTGATACTCCGACCGATGCTTCTGTTGTTGTGGAGTAACTCATGCAGCCAGCTATGGCTCTAGGATTTGGTGTTACATGTTATTTATGTAGTTTATTGTAAAAATTCGGTCACAGTCCTTGTGATCACTGTTATGTTGCAATTATGGCTTTATTTTTTGGTGATTTGGAAAACGTTTTTTGGTTTGGACATGTTTGTTTTGTTGTAGTACAGAGTTAGACTGATGGCCTTAATCTAAGTTTTTGTGGTTGTTGTTGTTTGACTTGCATCCCACTGGGATTTTTTGCACACAGCGTTGGTGTACGGTGCTTTTTTCAGGAATTTTTGTTGCTGTTTTTTTCCATGAATTTTCTGTTTGCACAGTCACAGTCACTTTAAGATGTTTTTCTTGTTCGTGTTTTTTGTTTTGTTTGTTGTGGTTGCACCCGATTCAAGAGCCGAATGGCTCACAGGGCTATACCAAAATAAACTGAAACTGAAATAAAACTGAAACGGAAACATGCATAAGCAATTAAAGAAGCAATAAAAACCAAAACTGCAGTCCTGTAATATTGCAAGTGAACATTTAAGTGGGACTCCACTTTATACTGTAGTATATAAAGGCTTAAAAAAAACTGCAGTTATAATCAAACTATGCTAAGCATTACACAAGAAAACATTACGTAAAATTCCCTAGCATACCCCTATGAAGCTTCGTTGGTGCCATGTGTTAGAAGTTTGAGAATGTACTAGTGCCACCTCGTGGAAGATCTTTAACAGTGTATTGCCTCTGTACAGCATTACATTGAAGTGCTGTACACAAAATATTTACGCCTATAAGCTATAAAAGGCACAGCCATTAGTAATCACAATAACATATGTATAAGAAAAAATACCCATCTTGTTAATGATGCTCGTAAAAATTGTCTCAATTGACAATTTACAATAAATGTAATGATAAATTATTTACCATATAAATACATTAATGCTTCATTAATTTTAAGCTTAACTCCGGACTGAGTCTCAAGTCTATTTTCAAGATGGTCCTGTCAGGTTTTGTGCAGAAGGGACGATATTGCTATGTGTAATCTCAATTGACACATTTTCTGCACTGGCATACGTATATTGAACTTGTTTCTCATCGTACGTAGTCAACCGTGCCAATCGGAGGTGTGGGGGGAAAGCACAACAAACTAAACACAAAAAGCAATTCTAAACAAACGAGTTTTCACAAATTAGTTTTTCGTTGAGCTATAATTTGTGGCCAGGTCGCTTCTGAAAAAGGGCTATATAGCTAAGTGGGCCTTATCTGCTAAAATAAAAATAGTTTAGTTTCATAGCATACTTGGCGAACGGCAGTTACATTGTGTCTTTTTTTACTATTCGATGAAACTGGAAAACCTGTAGGAAACCCAAGCAGAACAGTAAGAGGACATACAAACTCCAAACAGAGAGGTACCTAAGTTCGAAATCAAACCCAGGTGCTTCTAGCTGTTGAGCACAAATATTACAAGTGCTCCACCATACCAATGATTTCCCTGACTCCTGTAGCCAATGGTCACTGGCAGATTCAGATTAATCTAAAACAAATGTATCCTTGAATAACATTTTCAGGAAAATGTATGTAACCTCCAAGGATTTAATCATTACAGCCTTAATATATACACATACTATAATAACAAATTCACAATATATAGTGGTAAAATGGGAAAATTAACAGTCAACGAACAGCATCTTTAATTGGTGGAGAGAAGAGTCTGTCTGCAGAAGCCATGGGCCTTTCGTCAAATGCACACTGTTGACACAATCCGCAACCTGTAAAACAAATACATGGCATAATGATATTTATTAAAATATTACATTAATACACTGGTTCATGCACCATCAGAAATGATCGATCGACTGTTGCATAAAGGCCTCCCAAAGCCATCACCCCATCTCTCACGGTCCCGTGATGTAATAATCACATCAGCCCACTAAAATTGTTGGTTGTTCAGATGTAATTATTTATGTCATGCCCCCTGTGAATTTATATGTAGGAATGCAATTCTTACTTTATCAACGTCCCCAAATGTAGACCAGTCAAATTGTAAAACTTCACTTGTCAGACTGAAAACCAAAAAAATCACGTGATTAAAAATGTATGTCAAAGTCCTAGAAATGGTTCACTGCTTTCCACTGACAATCACTTTCTTTAATTTTCGATTTAAAACTTTCGTGACTGCAGGGATTCATCTTCTTGGTTCTTTCGGTAAAGTCATGTAGAAGGGAAACAATAAAATAAAAAAAATATAAAACAATATTTTATTGTTTCCCTTCTACGTGACTTTACCGAAAGAACCAAGAATATGAATCATTGCAGTCACGAAAGCTTTAAATCAAAATGACAATCACTTTGTTTATGGCTGAGAAGCTGACATTTTTAACTTCAAACATAGGAGTTGGAATGCGAAGAAACAGAATCGGAATATTTATTTAAGCTGGAGAAATCTGATGAGCTATAAAACTCTTTTTGAGAGATGTCCAGTAGAATGCCTGAGATAAATGTTTTGTTTGCTAGTCTCCTTGCGATGCCTTATGCAAGTATTCAGCTTAAAAACAATGACCATCATCTATTTTATGCGCAGGTAAGGATCCCATTAAATATACACAGTACTGCAATATCACCAAAAACAATTGTCATTGCACCTACTTTTATTTAAACCTAGTTGTATGGCTTCCATGTCAAACAGTGACACTTATACAAAAGAACAGCCAATATAACAAATACACACAAGCTCCGGGCCATTCAAACAGCTTCACAATTAAAAATTCATTGCCTAAAACAAACGAGAAGCACTGTAAGGGTGTGGCTCACCTCATTTCTGGCAAAAACTTTGATTTGTAAACATCTTCAATGTCCTGCAAGTAACTGTCAGAAATGTTTTGTTCAAAAGGCTGAAATATAAAACATGAACAGAGATTTTTTTTTATAAATGTATGACTGTACCGAATATATTTTAAATATCACAAATGTACACCTCAAGCACCTGTGTTGTGCTCCCACAATGATCCGACTTACACGACCACGCTGAATAAGCCGGTGCTGAATCTCAGGCACAGGAACATCCAGATACAGGACGATGTGAGGAGGAAGGATGGCCAAGATGCTGTTGGCCCTTGCCTCGTAGTAGTAATCCACAGCTAAACATAAAAAACAAGCTAAATGTTACTTTCAAGGGTTAAAGCAAGATTTCATATTTACACATGTTTCATTTTTTGGCAGTAAACAGTGAACAGTTGGTATGTACAATTAAATATTAGGCCGAATTGCTCTTTGTTAATGGCCAAGGGAAGTAATAAATATGAAATGGTGGTTTTCTGTATGCTTTACCTGCTTACACCACTGAAAATTATCATGAATACTATTCCTAACTTTTTGTATGAATTATCTTGGTACCTCAGCCCTTACACGCCCCTGCCATTTAAATCACTCTATTTTGTTCCCGCTTTTTAAACAATGTTAAGCACCTTGAGCAAAGGCCCCCTATAAATGTAAAATAAAATACGAAAATTACTATAACATAATAATTACCATAACATCACTTGATTTTTTCTAAACAAGCCATAACGCATTTCTAACTCGTCATCATTGTTTTCTATTCACCTACATTATATTGGAATAAAATGCCGTGGGGATAATTAAGTGTTACTAATATTCACTACTCACCGTGTTTTTCCAAGAAACCACTTTTGTGCATGGTATCCACGAACACAAAATCACTGTAAAGAGACCGGTCCAGGATCACACCTTGCCCTGAGAAGAGGATACATGGATTTGGCATGAATGTGAAGATAGCACAAGGGGTGATTTTAAATAACTGACACACAGGATATCAAGACAAGCCTATATTTGAAAAAACTACGCAACATAGTTTAACCTTGTGAACTTCTGAACACCTTTGATGACTCCTTGTATCGCTGTGTTGAAAGTTCATAATGCACAACAATACAAAATTAAATTTGTACTGCAAAATGAGGCACATGTGCATGTGTTTCAGAGAAGTATAATGTAAAATAAATCTACGAAGCTAAATTGTGAATTAATTACACATGATGCTTGGAGTAAAATCATAAAATGAGGCAAAACAATTAATTAAACTCCTTCTGTCATCATAATAATAATAAAAATTACAGGCCTGACATTTATAATGGGTCCCCCTATATAAAACAATTTCAAATAACATTAAGTATAAATTACTTCATAAAATAGTACACTTGTATACACATAATATACAACAGCAGATGAGGCAACCACAATATAAATGTTATGGGAAAATGATGGCCATTAAATGATGTGACAATGAAGCAAATCACCCAATACATAAATATTTGAGGATTTGTTTTTTTTCTGAGAGCTCCTTTCGAGTCAAACCAGTAGAGAAATATGAAAAAGGTATTCCCAATATTAACATTACACATGTTTAGTGAAAGTTGCATTCATGTGCAATATCCATACTGAGTTTGTTAATATGGAGCTGTTAACTTTATTCATAGCACTATCACGTACGACAATTGAGTCATATACCCCTGCAGTAGCGCAATAGCAACCTAAAACAACACTCTTAAGAATGGGAACATAACATTATAAGGGGCTTTTGGAATGAGAAAAGGCAACTGAGCATATCTGGCCTGTCCCTTTATGAAGCACACGCATCACCTATAGATAGCATTTTATATTCTCGCAAGACATCCATGCACCTTTCCCCACCCTAAATGACTTACCCATATCCCACGAGCATGCGATTTACTGCCAACACATACATATCTAAAATGATTCAGTAGTATTCCGTTGGCACAAGGGACGGTGGTTAATTGTAAGGTTTTACAACCGAAACAAAGAAAATGCAAAACTTAAAATGTAGGTTTCCGTAGCCAATAAAGTGATGTATATTTGCTTTTGGGTTAGTCCACATAACAGTTTTTTTATGCCAACATTCTTCCGATTAACTTTCCAACACCCAACCAAATTGTCACCGTCACAATTATATTATTTATATGTGCCAATATACTGATCAAAATCTGACGAATAAAGCTCACCCCGTGGCTTAAACATTTTTAAGAAAAAAAAAATCTATCTAACTGCAAAAGGTAATAATAGTTTTATTTCTAAATAAAGCATCAATAAGACATGTGACACCTAACTAAATGGCCAAGCTGTGTTTGTGAATAAGACAGTATTCCTAAACTTTGAATCATAAAAATCAATATCTGAAGTTATGCTGACGTGATTACAGAGAACAACAAATTGAACATGCAATGGGTTACCATTTCAGCGGAAGTAACTGGCGTGTCGTGATTGTATGTGAACGTGAGGACGTGAAACGACACGCTGACCTGTATTTAGCAGGTGCTCAAGAGCATCCGAGTACTGCAGGAGGCGTGTGTGGAACATCAGCAGCTGAAGCCGGACAGAGTTGCCATCGGGACTCTTTGGGTCTGCATAAAAATTTTCCAAGCTGCAGCTGCCTTTGAAAGGCGGTGGGGGAAGGGCCCTTTCCTTGCTCTTCTTCTCCCAGTATGGCACACTTGCTTCCTCAAAGTAGAGCAGGCCTGATGAAATTAACATTGCATAGTATGAATAATTTACATGTAAAATTACTATATGCAGATGTATTAAATCACACTTTCCTAATGTGCAATAAATAGCAGATGCTAATGTTATAATTTCAATTGCAGTATAAAGTTTGATTATGAGGATACCTTTTAAATTATTCCTCATTTATGTGAAAGCACATTTGCAACTTCTATGTGCAAGCATTCTAAATGGGTTCTTACAAATATACGGAATAAGTCTTATTTTTAAAAAAATCACACATGTTATGTTATGGTGCACATTACCCATTTTCTCTGCTAACATTCTGCCAAGTGTTGTTTTGCCTGCTGCTAGATTTCCATCTAAGACGATAATTTTACTTGATACAGAGAGCTTCTTTGTGATACCATCAAGCCTTTCCGTGTGCATCATGCAGCAATTAAGAGAATGTATCTGTAAAGCTGGTAAAGTTCTTATCTGCAAAAGAAAAAAAACATCTTCAGGCATGAATGGAAAAAGTCAATACTGTAGGAAGGCCGCATTAATATACTCTGCCACTGAACAAAAACGACTTTTAACATTTGGATATTGAGCTTTTTCTAATTCAAAATTTTTTATAACACTTGTTTTGGCTTACTTCACCAGAGATGTTATGTCTCATAACACCGTATTTCATTTGTAATTCCCTGTTGTTTGAATGGATTTAAATACAAAATTCCTCTTACGAACCCTGTTCACGAACCCTGATCCATAATATATTTATGGGTCAGATCTCGTGAGTAAATTGTGTGTCGTAAACCCTACTTCACAGACACAGACAATGAATAAAATTGTCACGTGAACAAACGTGCCAATTTATTTCTGCTTCAGTTCACCAGTGTGAATGAATCAGCCGTGTCAGGTGGAGGACGTTTTACGATACACAGTTTACTTACACGACCTTACCCAAAAAATATTCATCATATTGGCTGTGAAAACCTACGTGTTAAATCACAGATCCCCTTACTACTGTATTCCCAGGATTATTCGTCATATTACTCCATTTATCTGCAATAAAATCACAAGAAAATCATATTTAATTCAGAATTTGCCAATAGCCTTAACTGATATAGAAATAATTCAGAAAGGGAAGCTATTCCATAATGCATGGATAATCGTGAACAGGAAAAATTGGAGTTGGCTAAAAGATGTTGTGGACCCCTAAAGGTCCCTCTAATAATAGGAGTCACGGGTAACAGGACCGTGGATAACATTTGCCCTGTCTCAAAGAATATAATAGTAAAACACATCTGTAATACGTGTATCGAGAAACGGAGCTCAGTGCATTCTACACGTTTCAACAAGTGAATTTACAAGTAAAACCATTCTCTTGGGATCATCATTTCATATCTACACAGTTACATTAAGGCATTATGTAAGACCTTCATAAACATTACCAATGTTGAAAAGCACACATTTGACAGTCCCCTTCTCTTGCAAGTGGTATGCAGTGGAACCTTTTCACGTGTCAACAGTCCATCTCGCCTTAAACACATTAAACTCAACTTACGTTTGCCAGAGGGCGTCAGTGTGACTGATCTGTGGATGTGCACGACTCTTCCTGTCCTCACCCTCTCACTGTTCTCATCTCGTCTGTCAACAACTCATATGCTATGATGGGTGGCGACAATCTGCGTTCATACATACCGTGATTTGCCCACAAGAGGGCAATGCAATAACTGTTTAAACTATGAAAACTTGCAATCAAACATCAGCCTGGTATTTAGTATAAGAGTAGTTCTAGGGTTAAGAATATGAGTAGGGTTAGGGTGAAGAATTTATTTATGCCAGTGTTAGATTCGGGTAATAGATAATGTTAGGTTGAGGTTTTTGCTGTTGAGGCTTATGTTACATACCTGCCAACCCCTTATCAGTGCCTACCTTATTACAGACCAATTCAGACCTTATTGGTCACCACATGCCCTTATAAATCTCAACGTTCATCCTACAAAGTCCCAACACAAGGGAGAAACACAAACACATTTTTTTTAAATGCCTGTATTGAAACGGCTGTATGCCGTATGGACCCGAAAACTCAATTCCCCTGAGTTACAAGAACACGGGTAAACCGTATGGGTTGGCTTTACCGAATAAAACCAAAGAGTATGGATCCTTGCAGTCACGAAAGCTTCAACTCTAGAAATGATGTTGGGATTTAAAGGGTGGACAATACATCCTCTCCCTGGTCTCTCGGCAGATATCAGCTCGTGGTGGAAATTCCACAATTTGGCACAGGATGACCCCGCCGACGAAGTGGGTTAACCTGATGAAGACGCATGTGAAGAGTCCGACCACAAAATGCCAACGCTGCGGGCCAATTCGACGTTCGTCCAAAACGAATCGTAATAGCAGAGACGCACTCTGGGCACGTTTAATTGTCCAGTGGTTATAGACATTTCTCTTTTGATGGCACGACAACGACTCTCGTCCATCTCTCTGCACTCGTCTTACCAATTGCTAAAAACCCCCAACCATAACAATCTAGAATACGTATGTTCTATTGCTAATTTCCAAGCTGAACTAATGGCATTTCTAGCATCCCTTCACACGCATCCGTCTCTACATATCACAAGCACGTTCTTCAGCTGCTTTGTTAAGAGTCTGACTCTTTGACCCGTGCGGTATCATGAATGTCACAAAAGTTGTCTTGACACTTAAAACTGACTTCTCTGAGTGGTTAATGTATAACACCAAAACACAATGCACCACCACAGCATTATGCAAGCACCGTATTATGAGTATTAATAAACTTTAAAACACAACACGTGTAAGACCGCACAACCAATGGCATTAAGGTACAGCAATTAATTTATGTTCCAACACTCTAACGAATAACGCTGACAGTTTAACATTTTGACATCTTCTCCCACATATCATTAATCACTGAACGGCACATCATTGTAAAGAATTCATAAAGCCAGCAGTTGCAATTCATGACAAGCGTCGCTTGTTATTACAGCAACAGTACACGCACAAGTCATCAGCGCCCACTCTGTGCTAAATCTACTGCTGGATGAGGGCAGTATATAACGAATAAACAAGCCCGCACACAGACACACCAGATTTAAAACGAATTTATTTTAGAACCGATTTGACTTTCGTTTGTTGTCCTTCCACCTCCGTTGGCTAGGTACGGTGCGAAATCAGCTCAACACAAAGACAAAAGCTGCCCCCCGTCACAGAATGTTGGTGGCAAGTTGCTGTTAGCGAGTAACCAACAGCAACCACACCCGACCGCCTTTGTCTCCCCGAGTGGCGACGTTTACTCCGCACCCACAGCACCGGGTACTCATCTGAGGCCGAGTCGACCTAGGGGAGGGGAGGAGGCCCAGGACCGGTTCCGATGAATCGGCGGGCCATGAGCGGGAATCGAACTCGTAGCGCGCTAACCGCTGCACCACCGCTCCCACCGCAAGTAGCACGTGCGCGCGCTCGCGGCCTGTACGGCTGCTGCGAGCCCCCCGTCGTCGCCTGGATGTCTCCCGCCGCCCGAGGGACGCCTCCCCGCCCGCCCAACCCGGGGTGGCAGAGAGGCTGCTGCCGCCGGCGCAGATTTTTTTTATTTTTAAATTTGTTGTTGTTGTTTTATATTCTCACCGCAGTCAACGCGGGGACGAATCGCCGGCGCGTTACACGGCCGCTTCCCAAAGGCACGCAACGTCGCAGCGACGTAACGAGCGGACGCGACATATTCATTGCGCGTTTATATTTAACGCCGCTATGTTATTGTGAAATGTAACTGACGTGACCACGTCCTGTTTATTTTTTGTAAACGACTCTGTGCCGAAGTCCCTCTAGCGTTCGACGTATCATGCCACAGCAGAGGATTTGCCTCTCGGCTTTAAAGGGATGTTCATGACGGTATTTAGTAGGGTATCCCCCCCACACACACACACCTTTGAAGAGTTATTAAGCATCAAACTTTGGTTAATCCACTGCTCGATGAACCCCTCCCTGGCTTAGTCCGCATAATCCCTCACGGTCCTGCGATGTCATTGAAAATATGTTGAAGGCATTGCACAGTGTAGCATTGTTTCCAAAATGAACGGACGTTATCAACCCATGACAATTTGGCTTTTAAATTACGTAAGAAAATGTGATTTTTTTTTAAAGCCCTGACGAGCGTGAAGGTTTTTAAGATTTCTAGCATGTGTCTTTTTTTTCTTGAAACTAAACGTTCGATCTTATCATTTGCAAAGAAAAAACTGAAGTTTTAGAGAATTATATTTCTCCTTTGTATTGGCACTGGCAAAACGGTTTAAATATCAATAGGGGGCAATGCAAACCCATGCATAAAAAAATAGATGCAGAGGTTTCTTCGTCATTGCAAAAAAAAACCTGAATCATCAAAATGATCATCAAAATGGTCAAATTCAATCTTTAGTTGACCTTCCAAAATATGTCGAACAATGGTTTGCGATATTCCATTGAAAAATATACAAAGGCACAGGGTCAACACTCATTAACAGAAAGGCTGCATTTACTCTCCAGAATATTCACATTCAAACTGCATAATATACACATGTCAACAGTGTTTGCAGAAGGATCAGTGTTTTTTTCAAAAAGCTGAAAACAATATTCGGCTTCTTTTTAAATGTGAAACACAACGGTGGAAGGAAAACATCGATGTTCTAATGTTATCATAAAGGTCAACATCGACGTCAATACATCGATAAATCGGAACCAAAAAACTATGTTACCAATGCATTTTTGTTTTTTTGCCCATCCCTAACCACAAATTATATTTTAGGTGCTGGCATCTTCAACAGTGCTATATTCGAATACATTTGGACAGAGTATATGTGATGTATTTCATATGGAAATTTTTGCTTGTAATTCCAGATTGTATTTTGTTGATGCTGACTCGTATTGCAGGTACCAGTACTAGAAATGTAGTACATGTTGGGCATAGCTGAGGAACTTAATAGCACGCTATTTTACAGGGTGTTCTTTGCGATAGTGCTCTTGCTAGCACGCAATAGGATATCTTTTTTGTAGGATGCATGCATTTTTTTTGACACATGACCGGATGAGTAAGGGCTTGTAGAAACCTTGATGTAACTCGCATGACCTACGACGTGAGGTGGAGTTTCTTATCTCACCATGGCAGCAACACACACGGCAGCTTCTGCTCATATGGGAAGGGTTCTCAAGATTCTAGCAATCATGTCGCGATTGATCTACTTCTTGCTCATCAAATGCTGTGTGCGTGCAAGGACATGTATCTGTGTGTGGGAAAGAGTTTGTGTTCAAGTGACTTGAATGGCAATTGGCCATGACTTGTGAGAGGCAGCATTTGACAACAGTGAATCAGCCGTGAATTCTGATGTTCAAGTACTTGACGCTTTATTGTTGCATACAATAGATGTGGATTTGAAACATATATTTGTTTGCATGTCAAATAGGCAAATTGTTCCATCTACCCAGCTAACTGCATTGTATTTTTATATGCCAGTTCAAGCCCCAGACAATATTTATCCTGTATATCATGTTGTCATAATAATCCTCAGCAGCCATGTTCTGTCCATGTAATGCCATTGGTATTGCTGCTTTCATTATAAAATAGCATTTTTAAGAAAATTATCAAACCAGTTCTCCATTGCCATTTCTTCTGTAATTTTGATCCTCTTCACCTTAAATAAATGCCCTACATCTACAAACCCCTTTCTGTTTTAATTTTGTATTCATATTACGAGTATTTCCGTTTCTTAAGCGAACACGTTGTTGTTCAGTGCACCCCTACTTTAATTAAAGGCCAACATTTCAGGACTTATGCAGTTAGCATCATTGTCGGCTATGTCTATTTTTCATGATGTGTAGAAACAGGGTGAATACTCATAGAAAGAAAGACCAATTACAACATTTTCTTATAGGAGGTAAGGGATATTCTTGAATTTAATTATCCCCAACAGTCTGTTAGGCTATAATGGGGATCTTTGGGGTGGCAATTTTCACGCATATCTAAGTTAACACAAGCAGGGGAAGGGGACACTCGATCTTCAGTCATGCTGGCGTTAGTTGGCTCAAATCAACTCAGTTCTGACACCACTGTGGTAGCAATCATCCACCAAGGACCCCACTCAAACCCACAAAGGCCGGGTCTCGTCTAGCTGATGAAGGTTGCAAGCTGGAATGTCATCATCGCTTGCAACTGGGGTTGGCATTGTGCCCCGCCCCCTCCTCCTGACACCTGGGGAAATGGGTGACAGCGACTCATGCAGATGCTATGGCTGCTTGGTTACACAGTCCACACCTCCCCAGAAACCATGGCCAACAAAGGAGGTGTTCCTGCTAGCTAAAAGTAAGCGGCAGGCCCACTCCCGCCGGATACAACATTGCACGTTTAAGAACAAGGAGGCTTACCGCAGCCTTCGCTCGGAGGTTCAGGGAGCCTTACTGAAGAAATGCAAACTTCCTCAGTAACACGCGATAACAAATACCTTTTTAACACCATGAAAACAGTGACTAGCAGCATCACACCTATCGCCATCCTAAAGGGAAACAATGGTGATCTCATATCCGGCTCCCAAGAATAGGTTTGCAGCTTTGCTGAGCATTTTTGTGAAGCCTTGGGAGAGAAATATTCAAGTAAGTAGCCACTCCTTGTGAGTGGTTCGTTGATGTTGCCATCTGTTTAAGATGTGTGAAGGGCGATCCGGAGCTTGAAACCAGGTAAAGTACTGCTGAGAGATTACCTCGCAAGCGAATTGCTGAAGGAGGGTGGCATTTGTGTGCAGACTGCCCTATTGGACATCATTATAAATGTCTGGTCCACAAGATGAGTTCCTCAGAAGTGGAAAGATGCCCTGGTGGTCGTAATTTTTTAAAAGGGGGACTGCACTCATTGCAATAATTTCTGCCTCCTCAGTGTGGTGGGAATGGTCCTGGAAATAATTATTCAATATCGCCTTTCCAGACATACTGAGGAGAAGATTCTGGAGCCCCGATGTGGTTTCAGACCAGGGCGGTCCTGCATGGATGCAATTTTCTGTGTAAGCTCCAGCAGAATTTCTACAGGACCTACATCTCTTCTATATTGACCTGGTCAAAGTCTATGATACCATCAATAGGCCTGGGTTCTGGATTATTCTTCATGCTTTTGGAGTCCAAGACTATATGCTCACATTAATTGGGAACTTGTATGTATGGTAACTTCTTCCCCGCCGTAAGTAGCCAACCATGCTAATCGGAGGTATTCATGCAGCTGCTATGACAGTTCTGGATATTTAAACTAGACCTAACCAGAAACCTGGGCAAATGGAGGAGATGATGACTGATGGAACATCACATGCCTGAAAATGAGAAAGCTACCACAATATTACCTCATAGGTTTCAAGTGCCTTTCAATCATATACGGAAAATTGTAGGTTGTAGGTTGCTGAGAATAGCCTCACTCGCCTATGGTCACAAAATGTATTTAATACCATCAAGAGGTAACTCCCATGACCACCACTACCACCAACGTGGCAATCAGCTCTCTGACACCCAGGGTTCAGTCTGTCCATTTTCTTAGCATTTCTGTGAGGTTATAGGTTTTCGTGTTAGTAGGGGTGCCCCTCAGCCCAAATAACACCATCCGGTGGGGGGGGGGGGGGTGGTCTGAGAGCCTGCTGGAGAGATCTGGGGCCTGAGACCAAGTAATGGATTGGGTAGTGATGACTCCCTCAGCGAACTGCTCAAAGTGGGTGATGATGTGTGCAGGCTGCTTTTCATGACATCATCAGAAATGCAACAGAATTGGTTCTGCAGAATTGGAAGAAAGCCCTAGTGATACCCCCTTTATAATAAACAGAGCAGCTAAAACACAGCACGTTCGCACAGGCAGAGTCTAGCTTAAAGCAATCAGTTAACATATCATCTTGGCCCGTCCTGTGACCTCATGCGAGTATATTTTTGCTACTTCGCATGGCCTGAACGTGCACCTAGCCAGACAAACATGCCGTGGTGGCATCACTGCCAATTATTGCTACAGAAACCTGCAGGAACAACCCGGGAAGTGCTCAGCTTATGTGCTGTAAATTTCCTCCATATCTCTGATCTATTCAGTGGCAGAGCACGGTGCTCCAGCATGGTTCACGAGCTCGTACACTGAACTTCTAGATGCACAATTAAATAATGCAATGCGCATCATAAACGGAACACTGAAACCGACACCAATCCCCAGGCTCCCTCTTCAAACCAACATGTTGTCACCAAATACCTGCAGAGAGACGCAACTGCAAGAGGGTTTACACGTTTTCTTGCCAACAACAACCACCTAACCATCAACCAAGATCTAAAAGAATGTATCTCGTCGCCGACTCGAGTCCCATTGCCCCTTCTGGGATAGCGCTGTCGCCGTCACAGAATCTCAACCAGATCCAGAAGAATGCTGGTCAACGGAGTGGAGCAACGCAAATGTCCAGAATAAACACCACATTTGAAACCCAAATATTGCGCCTCATGGCTTTGACAGAACATCAACAGGCCGATGTGCATATCTTCATGAATGGACATTTTAAAACAAGCCACAGTGCGATTGTGGTCATGCAATCCAAACTATGGAACAAGAAGTCTGCGCTTCTTCAACGGAGGAACAGCAAAATTACTCAAACTCTCTCCTGAAGTTATCTCATCGCTAGTAGGTCTCAACATTGACATTTAGACTCTGATCATACGCAATTATGGAATAATGGAATAAAATGGGAAAATAGCTGTTGTTTGTGCATCTTGGTGCAAGACATAAGTAAAATATTTCTGGTGAATAATTTGCTTTATGTTGGAATACGTTCTTTAGTGTCGATCTCCCATGTCAACGGCTATGG